AGTAACAACTTTCCTCCCTGGCGTGAAATTGGCCACTTTCGCCCCTCTCTACAGGCATGGAAAGTCGGACTTTCCGTGAAGGTGTTGTGAAAATATATTTGACAGAAAAGGAACATCTATATTATCATATTATACACATATTTTAACGCGATAGCGACGTATCACATGATATACTACATTATCGCTATAAATGTTAAAGAACTCGTTTTTCATCAACGAATAGTCGAGGGGATACGCTACGTCGCCAAAAATAGAATTTCATATCGCGAATGTCACGCTGCAACGCTGTAAGAATTCAGCGTCCGGCGTCGCGCGCGGAATTTAATAAAGGCATAAATACAATAACGTGCCGCATGTGGTCTCGTGAGGGTACGACCTTTCGCGTTCCTTTTTTTCTCTCCATCCTTCCCAATTTGTGATCATGTGCACCGAGCACACGATCATCCCACTCGGCGCAATTTTTACCGCTCGTCTCTCGTTCGGAGAGGCGTCGCGACGCGACGCGAACGACGACGAGCGCCGACGAAAGTCGTAAAGATGCAAATGCACCGTCTCCGGGAGAGATTGCCAGCTGTCCCGAAACCGCCGGGATACCTACCCGATGAATCCACCAGCCCTCTCAATGCTGCCCTGCTATGTCCCGCGGGAATCGCGAGTCGGGCCCCTCGATTCGCAAATATGTATTACGAGAGGCGAAAGGATAAGTATTTCGGAGACGGTTTGGAAGAGTACGAGCGTATCTTTGCTCCGTATATCCTCGAGATATTTCTGGCGTGAACCCCCCGTAAGGTGCAAGCTGCTGCTGCGAAAAAGAGAGAGAGAGAGAGTTTCTGAAACGAGAGAAAACGTACGAGCAGCAAACCGAGTTTAGGCAGCCGTATATATATGTATATTTGGATGACTGCCCTCTCTTTCTCTTGTCGCGTGATCGATGAGGCAACCGAAACGAGGTGAAACTCGGAAAAAACACGCGTCACGTCGTTCCCCCCTTTTTTTCCTATTTCGGAAATTACCCGCTATTAGCGTACGCGTACGGTAATTTACCTTGCTACTAATTACTGCAATATTCCCGTGAAAACGCTGACGTTCTCGTTACGATAGCGAATGCATAAGTCACGAAGCGCGTCCGTGCCGGGTGTCCGGTAGTGTCTAATAAACGAAAATTTATCCCCGCGCGACGCGCCGGTTTATTTGCCGGCAATTTTGCTCAGCGTCGTGTCGTCCCGCCCAGACAAAACGCTTGTATATTATTCGGCTTGTAATTATAATTCGCGAATTTGCGCAGGGTCAACCAAGTTCATCGGTAAATTCCTTGGACAGCAAGAATTATTATGCAGAGTGTTCAACCATGTGTGAATCGTTAATCTTAATTACGATACTGAACAGGAGGAACAAATTTTACTTTAAATGCCAGACATAAAATGAGCTAACTTTTAAAATAAAAAAAGAGATATGTATATTGATTGCCATTATAAATTAGCTAAAGCGTAGATTATATCTTTTTTATCTTAAAAAAAGAAAACCGTTTTTGTAGGTGTGTCTTTAAATGGACTTTGGTGCAAGTAGCACGGATTTAGTTTGGCAATGCGTCGAGCTTAAAATCGCTGTGGCCTGGCGGCGGTTTTTATCCGATTTTATGCGGCGAATCTTCCCACGTGAAAAACTACTGGTTAAAATAAATGAACGTTAAATCTACTAAAGGGATATAAGATTATTCGGAACACTGGGCTTTTAAAGCCCCGCGCGATTGTTATACCATTTCACGTCGCGGTGATGCTTCCAACTCGTAAAAAAAAAATACATTTATTACGCTCGGATCATCCGAAACGCTATGGTGAATATATTGGTTCATCCAACAAATAAGCGATTTTTCATTACTGGAAGAATTGAATTTTATGAGCGTAAAACCGAAATTTTTTTTTAGAAATAGATAATATTGAAAAGCTGGACAAAATAAAAGATAATAGCAAACGATGAAGGAATATGTGCCAGAAAAAGCTTATTGAAACAAATTAATATAAATTATTCGTTTAATTATTATTATTGGAAGAAGTAATTAATTTTTTCTGACATATATTTAATCGAAGTCTATTATTTCTTAACTTTCTTATTTATGATTGTATTTTACGCATTCCTGGTTTAATAATATTTTGAATTAATAATTTTTCACACACGATGTTTCTCTCACATCTCGTGGTATTACGTAGACGTGTAACGAGAATGTACAAGTTGGATCAGACTTTGCTCGTAATTTAGTAGCTATATATAATCGGAAATGTCCAAGGGGACGTGTAAGGTAATCGCGTTACACGTAATAATGGCCGGGTTGCCGAATATCAATTAAACTTTTCTAACTACTTTCGCAACTTGAATGAAGGCTTGTGTTTATCGGTCCATTGTCAGCGATATGAATTACAAGGCTAGCGCGATGACGATGCGGGCTATCTGTTGCGAGCGCTCCGTAATATAGTCTCATCTTTTTCAAGCTGATACTGATTAAACTTTCCTTAATTTCGACATACGGTTATCTCGGCATTGTACATGTCTTATTTATAAGACTGAGTAATAAAGTAACTCCTCGCGAAGTTTATTATCGGGCGTACATCGGGGTTTCTTAAGACGAGTAAGAAGCGACATAAAGACGAGCAAGAGTAGCTTATTTATACAAACTTCAATAACGTAGTCAGTATTTTTATAAGACCGAAGAAAACTTCGTAAAGATCCTTGTGCAAGATTAAAATTATCCCCATTATCTTTTCTCTCATCGTGCTTTCTTATATACCTAAGCTATCATTCTGCGCATACTTGAAAAGTGTCGAGTTGCATAACGTTACAGAAATTATGAGAATTTATAAGCCTCTCTAATTTCTTATTTCCATATTAATTCCCTAATTTTTCTAATCTATGAAAAGAGCTCAAAGCTCGTACATATAATCTTGTGTCGTCACAGATTCTGATTTCCATTTAATATAAACATTTGCACGCAGCCGTAATGTTTGTTAAAAATAAAAAAAAAAGTAAAATAACGCAGTTTCAAATGGATGACCGCGATTGTTCGTGCGATGAGATTCCCATGAAACGACAATTGAAATTTTTTGCGGTCTATTCGGCAAAGGCCATATTTATTATCTCGTTAATTTTAATCCCCCGACCACGTTGTGTGACCCAGTATCACGTACACCTCGACGACAATGATTTACGGCGCTTTTCCGGTACAATAAAGCTAGATTGTGTATGTACGTACACACATACATGCACGCGGTACACGTGGATACGCGTATATCTACTCACAAAAACGAGAACCGCATTTACTTTTATTTTGACCGTTTCACTTGTACACACAGAGTGCTCCAAAATTACCGGATGTCGTTTTCGCTGAAGATTTCTCGATTTGTAAAAATGTAGAATGTCGAAAAGATAGAAATCTCGAATGTGTCTACGATTTTCGGATAATTAACGATTGAGCTTAGAACTTTCGATGAATTCTCTGTCTTTGTCTTTGTTTTTCTCTTTGAACTTGTCTCCTCTTCTCCTTCTCTAAGGGTTTTAAGAAGAAAAATAGGTGACAAAAAATTAATAAACACAAAGTTAATAAGAATGGCATTTCACCATAGACATTTCACGCATATCACTTTCCACGAATATCCTCGAAGCCGCAGAAACGCGTTTATGCAAGACTGGAAGCTCATTGGCAACGCGAAGGCAAATCAGTTAGACGTGCCTTTATGGACCTCAGACCTTTGCAAGGATTATTATAGTCATTGTTCAACAAACTCTCCTTAGACGGCTCCCGCGGGCAAAACCGAGTATCGTACCGCATCTGAGCTCAACAAGTTGATAATCTGCATCACCGTGGTACATCAACTTCGAACCTAAGCGCTTTCAATAGTACATTAGCATCGTATTTCATGTAGGAGCGAATTGAATAAACAATTACCTACATTTGCGTATAACTACGCAACGTTATGCGTAAATTAAACCGAAAGTTAAATCAAGTTAACCCCTCCCCCCCACGGATAACGTGGGTAAGAAAGGCTGCGTTTATTGCATACCAGCGAGAGTTCGCTGTGCTCTCTAAAGATCGAGTTTCTTTACAAAATAGCTGCGTTACGTGAGGAGGATTGTCAAGATTAGCTTTCACGGGAAATACCTTGCGACCGATTTTGTAGTCTGGCGCTATTCGACGCTGTTGCTGTGTAACCGAGATCGGCTTTCGTCTGATTATCTCGACATTCTGTTGAGGCTAATTCTTTTTAATCCTTATAGCTTCTCTGAACACACATCAGTTAACGTCACTACAAATAAGATCGACGAACTCTTTATTCCCTCGACGGTGCTCGCGCAACTATTATATAATGTTCTATTTAAGATTCCCCGCCGCGTTGTTTACCGCGAGGTCGGCGAAGCAAAATGTCGCGCATCGATCGACACACCGGATAATAAAAGATAAACCCGGCGAATAAATGTACGGATTACTATTAAGCGAGCTTTAGCATTGAGCGGCGCAATCCGATTAGAGCAAGATTTCACGGAGGTATAAAATCGGAACGATCGAGCTGAAAAAAAATTCCCGAGCGCATTATGCCGATCGGGATTCGGCCCTCGACGATATTATTTCCACGGACTTAATCACTAACGGTTACGCGGCCAATAAATCGCCCGTAATTTGCTTTAAGCTTCTCACGGAATTATCTATATACCTTTCGCTGAAGTTGCCGGGTTACTCTCCAAGTCGACTCCCCCGCGCACACTTAGTATCCCCGCACTTTCCCCCGTCTGCAATCTCTTTGACCGGTCTAGAACCAATTTTCCCCGAACCAGGATTTTCTCTTTTTTTTCTTTGCAACTTTTTAATATACCTCGAGTATCTTAGAAATTGAAGCTTAAGGGGAAATCATGTTTGCGGAAAGATATCGAAGGAATGTCTACTCAACGCTTAGCATGTTCTACTCGCTCAAACGATCTTTCAGGTCGATTCTACGAAAAACATTTCGTTACAGATAATGGGCAAATGGTACGTCGTGGAAGTTCTGGAACACAGGATGGACCCCACGAAGCCAATGAGCAGCTCGTACGTCGTTGACTCGTGTCCGATCGTGAAGTTGAGGCCGGTAGATCACGCCTCGTTGAGACTATTGTGGACTGAGGAGTCCGGAAACGTGGAATATACATTCCGGATACCAGATGTCCACAGAAGAAAGGGATTATGGCGAACCATGACCTCGCAGAACGGTAAAGAGATTTGTTTATTTCTACGCGACCATCTAAATTTCAATTAGTTACTCCACGTTATTTTTGACTCTGTCATTTATTCGCTACCCTATATGCTTGCATACACTTTTCCGATTTGAAATATAAATTTATTATCGATGGTAATAAAATGCGGAAAGTTCGTTTCATTAAATAGCTTTCATTATGGTATTAACAGCATCTAATTGCAAACACATTCAATAATACAACGTTGCGATTTAATTAACAAGTAGACGATGGCTATTCTCTCTCTCGGTTAGAATACGTAAATTAATATTGAAACCGGATGCATTAATTATCATTGGTGTGTGGCAAATTAATGCGTTTGTATTGCACATTTGACATCCACGCAATGAACCTTGTAAACTAGAATCTGATCAAAAACATATTTGCGTAAGGAGTAATTGCACAAAATGAGGCTTGTGATTGGTAACATCTGGTGGAATTAGAGTAATATGAGTTTCAGGTTATAACTTCTTTTGAACAAATCGATCGAAATCGATGGGTGTACGGGTGGGCTTTTTATATCTTAATCGAATCTCTCAGCATTCCGGTTTTCTCGATGAGTTTGAAAATATCCCGACCATTCCAATTATAAGACGAGTTACGGCTCTCATTGCGATTGATTTTCCATGTTACACAGTTAGCCGAATTAATAAACCTTTCGTGATAGAACTGGAAGACTTAATTTTTCAATCACTCTTGAGCAGCGTTTCGTCCAATCGATCTTCTCCCGAGTGTCTCTTTAGAAGCGAAGAAATAGAGCAGCGAAGGACTCTTCAAAATTGCAAAAAAAAGAAAGATGGACAATCTCCGCGAAACGCGCAACAATTTTGACGTACGATTCACAACTTTATTATGCCTCGAATAACCTTTCGCGACTAGACAAAATTAAAACTCTGCTTTCGTCGGAATTTTTCAATTTATCTCAAATTATGACGAAAACGTGTTGCGCTTTTGCGTGTCTCGCATTATTATTCCTTTCTCGTAATTCACCTCCTCTTGCATGCTCCGGATTTTATCGACCCATTGCGTGTAATGAAATTTCCAAAGAAATACATAGTTGACTTGATAATAAATTTGAATAATTATTTATCCATTAGAATGTTACTTTTTTTAATAAGAAGTTTAGAAATAACAATCAGATGACGTCCTCTTTAAATATAAGTATCGAAAGAGAAATTAATATAAGAGGATTAAAAGAAGTAATCAGAATTAAAAATACAATTTCGTTGATAAACAAGTTGTGATTACAATTTTCGTTTCGCGTGGGAAAAGCTTCTCCGTTTCCATAACGAGGAGCGACAGGGGAAACAGATATATCCAGTGCGCGAACTTCGGCGTGGAGTTGGAAGTTCTTTCGAGGGTGATTATCATAAGCCAGTCCGAATAACCGATCACGCCGCGCTTGCCCGACGAGTGGTTGAAAGTTTCGGGGCAACTCCTCGCAGAGGGTAAATTGGATTAACGATTCGGCCGGGTTGATCGCGCCCAAAGTTGCGTCGGCATTAGGAACATGCCATTAGGTTGGCGGCTCTTAAGATAGATACGCGCTTTGAATGGATCGTCAAACGAAGACAAACACTCGCAATGAACGGGCGTCTTTCCATCGTGGAAGAATCAATTAGAATTTATTCCTCGACAAGATTCGCATCGCGAACCTCGAGAGAAGCTTTAAATACGGAACAAACGGAAAAAAAGACTTTGAGACAATATGTTGTGTGTAAGTTAAAAGCGAGGTTAAAAGAGACTTTGTATTTAAAATGAAGAGCGTGTTTCTTTTTATGTAAAGATTTCTTGATCAATTCTGGTCTCTTTTATTAAAAGTTAATTGACAATTATTATAATAATAAAAGGAAATTAATTAAAACAGTTATAAAATAAACCGGACAAGAGAATCGATGCGTTTTCAATACATTATTGGAAAATGAAAACCGAAATAAAATAAAGTAACGATATTATGATAAAGATATTGCAATAGATTAATGGTTATACGGCAGACTAGTGGAAATAAAAAATAGAAAATGGGTTATTGCACTCGTTCGACATTTGGGCTGACTGATGGTAGTAGGGATAAAGATCTCGAAAGAAGAAAAGATACGAGATTAAATTGGTTCAACGAAACTGTTTGGCTCGTTGGATACTTTCTTGAACTCCAACCTCTTTATTATGTTTGCGTCCATTGGCGGATTAAAAGCACAGATTAAAAAGTTCATTAAGTGAAAAGCAGAATGGTGATTTCTGTGATCCAAATAAAAACACGAAGGTAATGTTTCTATGTCAGAAACGATTGCTAATGATTTGTTACCATATTATCTTACACAAAAAGTAAAATTCTCATCTTAGATATCTAATCTTCTTTAAATGTATATATGTGTGAGTCTGTACGATCCTTTCTGGCCGAATTGAAGTTGATAAAATCATTTAATAGTGTACTACAAGAAAATGCCGATTATTTGGACCGAGTTAAGGGATTTGATGTACTTGTTATCTGTACAAGATATTCGAATAAGGAAGAACGTAAACGAGATATCAAACAAGATAATACTTCCCAGACAGAACGAACAATCGCGTATCAATGTAATTCGCCAGAACACGATTCGCCAGCGGCAATTAAAATCCCAAGACGCGCTGACTAACGATCTTAATGAATTCGTGGAATCGTCCGTGTGATTATCGGTTAACCGTCAGTCGAGCCGGGATGGGATTCAGCCGTCGTAAGCCAACGAAGTCGAGGCATCCAATTACGACTGCCGCCGACTGTCGGAGAATGACGGGGAACGCGGAGAATTCGTCGCGAGGCGCTCCTTCGAGGAAAAAGCGCTCGTCGACGCGGAAAATAATTTTTCAAAAGTCGCACGGCCATCTGCTCTTTCTAATTTCTTTCCGGCCGACTCTGCAAGTTCTTCTTTCTTTCCTTCTCTTTCCTCCTCCCTCGGGCAACCACTCTGCCGAATGGCTTGTCCGACGCTATTCTTCGCTATCGGCCAACAGCAAATACGGGATCCCGTATAATGGAGCAGACGCGGAACGTAATGCGGATTGAGGTCTCTCCGGGATTTCGTTTCAGCCAGCCTGCCTGCCGGAGTATACTAATCCGAAAACCGAAAACGATCTGAACTGCCGGGGATAATATACCGCATCGTGAAACTGCAAGAGTATATACCCGATTGATGCACGGACATTGTTTGTTGAGTCGCTGGGACAGTTAGCGAGTTCGCTCTCAGATTAATCCTCTCGCGAATGAATCTTCATTCAGGAAAATGATGTCTCTCTAAAATGAACGACTTTCACGTATCTTTAACGCGGAAAAATTATACAAGTTATCTGTTCTTGAGCTAAAAATGATAAATATGCGTCATTTACAATCAAGAATGATAAAGATGTTCTAATAAAATTTAAAAAAAAAATCATTATTAAAATCGACTCCTTTATCTCGCTTTAATTCGCTAGTGTATGTGTTAAGTTCAATAAACTTTTATATATAATTTTTTAATAAATTTTTAAAGATATTAAAAATCTCTTCCCTGATTAATTTAGAATTGATTCTTCATTAGTGAAAATTCAATTGATCGTAAATTTTCTTTATAAAGGAAGTGTTATAATCTCTTTCAAACAAGAATGCATTTCTATTAAATTACTGAAGAGCATTTTTTAATTTTGACATTTTGTACAGAAAGTTCTCTTAAACTCAATTTTGACCTAGTATTTCAATATCGAAGCACAAGATAAATTCCGGCGTAATAGAATTCCTGAAGAATATCTTTCTATATCAGAGAGAAAAAGAGAGAGAGAGAGAGAGAGAAAGAGGAGAGAGTGAGAGACGATAAAATATATTTCGATACAGCATGTACGAATGCGACAATTGATTATTTCCCATGCATAAATATGAAAATCGCTAAACATACATATACGTATATGTGAACCACGGTTGTATATCCGTGATTTGAACAATTAAATTTACCATCTGGTTAATTAAATTTGGAGACAACGTGCCGGATGAAAAATAAAAAATAATATCGAGTATCTCTCCGACAAATATAACGGGTTTTTAATAATTCAAAATATAATTTTAGCTCATGCAAAATTTTGAAATTGCACGTGTCTTGAATATCTTGCTGGCTGAAATTAAATTCGCATATACACACACATAAACGAGCGCGTGCGCGTTTAATTACACAAAAGAACCGAGAAACATGCTGCATTTCGCGCTGTTTTCCTTAACGCGAGAAAGAGAAACACGCGCGATCAACAACCAGTTTTTCGTCGGCGCAACATAGCGACTTTATTACAGAAAGTTAAATCAATTTCGTGCATTAGCCGGTCCTTGAGCCGGAAGGACTAGGACTGCGCGAAGATTCGCTCGTGAGAATGTTTTTGCCGTTTTATAGACGACGACGAAATGAAAACTTTTCTCCGACATCTTCCTCTCGCCAAATTTAACTCCCCCCCCGACTTCGGCCGGGAATCTCATCAGAGTTGCAGCTGTCGTACTTTAGGCGCTAAAAACGAAGATCTGAGGAGGCAGTTTTTCGCGATGGAATTCATAATTCTCGTGCAACATACTTCGCGGCTACTGGACGCGACGCTTGACGAGACGATGAAGAGACCCTTGAGAGACTACCTAATATATGGATGTAAGTGCTGCCTGCCCAAGATCTAAGCGCGGCTGCAACAACTTTCCAGAGAAGATAAAGACCTCTTATCCTTGTACGACCGACCTAGTTTTCAAACTCGCAAACGGCCAGCGTTGCCCTTTTCTTAAAAGTTACGCTAGAGATGAGAAGGTGCATACGTAAAAGTGTTCTAATCCAGATAAGATTGCAAAGATTAAAATTTAATTCAATTTAAACAAAATAAAATTTAATTGAAATTAATTTAAATTTTTTTTTTTAATATTCCTTTACTGAAAATTAATCGAGAACTACAAACATTTGCAGTAAACGTTATAGTATTGCGATAAGGGAAAGAGAAAAAGACGGAGGGAGAGGAATGTAATTATTAGGCTAATCGCTTAATTGGTTTGCTTGTTAATATACGATTGCTCATTTATCGGAAGGTGAACCGTTTAGCTGTTAATTTATAATTGTTTACATGCGCGTGGAGAGAAGTAAATTGCAATCCATCGCTCAACTGCTCAATTTAGAGCAGCGATATACATAATAGTTAGAAAATGTAATGATAGTGTCGCGCTAGGGAACGAATTTGAATACTGATCAGGACAATGTATATCGACTGAAGCGATTACGGCGATGACATTGCCGCGGCATATACGCGGCATATGCAATTAGTTGTGCGCGGTGCAATTACCATGTCGTTTTAATAATAATTCGTGACTTTAACGCGATTGGGAAGGACGCGCCGCGAGTAAGTAAACATCTAATTGCTATCACGATGTAATTATGAGTATCGCGTCGCGCTTTCAATTTCGTTGCCTGCGCGCTATTCACGTCGCTTTGCTTATAATAACCGGAACAATCCAGTCGCAGTAAATGTCAATCGCAACCGTTTCAGTGAGTCGTCATTTCAATAAATTGTCAGGGTATGGCAATGTTTTGCGGCAATGATCGATATGTCACATATCTACGTGAACCGACGTCGTTGTTTAACGACGTTTTGGTCAACTTCAATTACGAGTGACGAGTGTAAAATATTGTATATATATATATATATATATTTTTTTTTTTTTAGAAGCGTAAGAATATAAGAATATAAGCAAATTGGAAAGTCGCGTAACATGACAAGATTTTTTCGACATTTTTACTTTAAAAATGTTTTCGAATTATCAAAGATTTATAAAAGTCACATTACAAATTAAAACGATAGCTCCCTCAGAAGTAGATCGGTCACTCCTCTCTGTACATAAGTTTAGTTGGAAACGTAACGGGTGCTTCTAAATGCCGGTATTAAAGTGGTATCTTCAGAGTGAAATATTTCCGACATCGCGCGATGATCCTGCGAAATGTGGAATGCATGTGCATCGTTTATGGTCGTTGCACATTGCGCATATAGATTGTACACGTGCTTGCCGTCTCGTCTCCGTATATTTCCCTTCATAACGTTAAGTGCGTTCTCAACTACGTAATGAGCCGTAATATTGCGTATTTCCATTTCGCAACCGTGTATTTCGCGTCGTGTCGAATGATCATCGAATCCGTCTGAACTGCGCCAACAATTGAGATCGTAATCAAATCATTATAACAAGATCATAATTCTGATTATAAGTATTGTATTCGCAAATGGCCCAATTAACTTGATTAAATTCTAAAATATCCGTTAACTGCAGGACATGAAGAATAATGCGTGATAAAAACGTGACTCTGAATTTTTTGCGAAACGATGAAAGTATCGCTTACATAAAGTAAATGGTAACATTTATAGGTGTGTGAGATACCAACCGCGGTTTATCCCGGTCAATTCACTTAGATCAAACATTTTTGCAGATTAAACATTGCACAGGTTGGAGTTTATATCTCAGGGTCCGGTGAAGTGGTTGAAACTTACATTTGTCAAAGCCCCGACTTAGTCCATTAAACGTGTTCAGATAAAAGTGCCAAGTCCGTGATAAATGATACTAAATACAATGGTATTGCGCTGCTATTTGTTACTCACTGTGGAAGTTTCTAAAGGAAACACTTTGGTTTCTTTGCAATTTCGTACTACTCGCATCAGCCTTTTTATTGCTTCGCAATGCTCGTACTCATTACCCGAGCTACTTAATCACTTCCCAAATACTATAAGAAGATTAACTAAGTTTGAAAGCTCATAGTATGCCATATATCAATTTTGTACAACACTTTCATATGTGGAGCGTATCACACAAGATCATAATTTTCTTTAAAGCTTGAAAGCATAATAAGTTTTTAATATCGTTGGCATAGTACGGTACACATGCGTGCAGTATATGGAAAAATATTTATGTACCCTATCTTGTTTGGAAAAATTTTATGCGAAGCAAAAAGGCAACATCGTAATGTAGTTTTATCACATTCTGTTTGCGATTCTACTAAATACACTGAATAAACTACCTCGTAGAAATATTTTTCTTTCTATGTAAAATTTTTCCAAAAAATAGACGAAGTATCCAGATGCTTTTCATATGCACACACGTACAGATTTATGTGTAATATACATGAATTACATTATATGTAGGACTACAGCATTGTAGGTATATAATGTTTCGCCTCTTCGTCGTATCAGTAGAGACAGGAAATTGGAAAGTCAAGCTTTCGCTACTTGCTCGATCCTTCTTTATTGTCGCGCTTTCCTATCTTGACAATATCTTAGATGTCTATTTTAAAAAGTGAACCCAAAAGCCTCATCTATCATTCTCGCCATTAATACATGCGTGTTAAATTTATCGGATCAACTGAATTACCAGATTTTTTCGGACACATCTCAGAATTCTCGTTTAAAAATCGTTAAGAATATTTATATTATCTTTAGGCTCTTTAAATAATCTCCAAATTGGGAGCTTGAATTTCGCCAGTTTTTATCTTTCACATCACGACAAGTTATTTTCACGTGAAACAAAAATCCGTGAGTACAAAATGACCCTGCTTTTACCCCGTACGGCCCGTACCCTTCTTCCTATTTCACTCAAGAGCATTCCACGTGAAGATAAAACTACTTCATAAAAATAGACTTGTCGTCGACAGACATTTATTTCTGCAGTCGCGACAGTTCCGTTTGTACAAGAGATTCTACTTCGTGCAGCGGACGGAAGCTGACGCGAAAAGCCGGGGCAGGAAATTCGATAGGGAGGCCTCTCTCTCTCTCTCTCTCTCACCCTCATTCCCTCCTTTCTTTCACCCTCATCTTGCGTATTGCGTCACGTTGCTTCTTTTAACCCGGTTGCTGATTTAATTTGCAGGTACCTTAACGGAGCAGAGATACATGCAGTTCACCGGCAACGTGCACGTAATGAAGGCCGTCGCCTCGGACATGGTGTTGACTTTCTGCTCTCGGAATCCCAACAATCAGCTCTACTCCCTCTTACTGTCACGCGAGCACACTCTGCAGAAAAGCGACAAACGAGGAGTTCACAATCTCCTGGGACGCCGCGGCCTGAAGATCGTCAGCATCCGCGAGACTTGCATGAATGGCGGCGCGAGATCCAGGCGGGGCGCGCTCGATCTCGTCGCCTGGGCGACCCTCGTCGGCCTCCTATCGTCGAGCGTTCTCTTCAGATCTTGGCAGTAGTGAAATTAAACGGACGATCGATCGATCTCGAGACGCCCAGATCGCCAGATCGCCAGATCGCGCCCCGACTGTGTGTCTCTCCGTCTCAGACTAATTAACGCGATTATGCTAACACTTTGGATGCTGCTGCGCGTGTAATAGAACATTACGCTGGGTTACGGAAATCCGTCGACAGAGCTCGACGTTATACGTTAGTTACGCATCGTAACTTTCTGTATACCTTAAGTTCTCATGGAAGAATTTTTAATTACAAAACCAATATCTTTTTGTAAATTTATACTATTTATATTCACTACATTATTATAAACTGTTTTAATTAACAACTTTTACAAATAATATTAAATTAAAAAACCAGTATTTTCTACGCGGTTATACAAAATAAAATATGATCGTTACACACGTTAATATTAATAAAACGTGTTCAAGAGAGTAATTAAAAAAATTTTTAACTAAAATTAAATTTCGCACAAGGCAATTAATAAAACTCTATTATATTATTCTTTTTTTTATCCGAGCGCACCTCTCTAGCGTGTATTAATCGATACACGAACTAATTTTAAACGAAACGAGAGAGTCGCATCCAAGGGGTTAAAATTATACCGCACGGCGACGGACGCTCGATCATTGACATCGAAGATTTCTTCCGCAATTAACTTAACGCCATCGTGGATACTCGATCAACATCATGAAGACGGAATTGCGATTTAGATCCGCGGCGTTCCCGGTCTCAGGTAATCGCACAGAAAGAACGAACCGTATCGACGGGATTTGTGATTCGGTTGCTCCGGAGAACGACTTTTAAGGGGATCGGATCGGCGAGACGCGCAGCAAGATCGAGCGTAGGAAAAGCATCGATATCATCTGCGATTCCCACGCGGGAGCTTCTTTTGTCCCTATCCCCTTACGGGTAGATCCCCCGGATCGTCGGCCACTCGAATATTTTTCAACGACGTCCGCCGTCATTTGTTCCTTCGCCGAGAATGAATTACCCATTAGACGATTTTTCTTCCTCCTTATAGTCCCAACAACTCCCGTGGACCCTTGTGGACAGCTCGCTCTTCGCCGTTCCGCACGGTTTTTAATCAAAGGCTCTTTGTAACGAGAGCAAAAAGTTTACCGCAAACAAAGCGCGTGTATCGCGGGGTTCATTTTTTTCCATGGTTTTTTCTCGAGTTATATACCAACGTATTTTTTCTTGCAACGAATTCGCTAAACGAGGTGATTTTGCATCGGCTCTTATTGAAAAGTCTGTTTCAATACTTCTACTTAATGCATTTGTAGCTGTATTAGATAAATAATTATTTTTAAGCTAATTATTTTACTTTTCGTACGTAATATTACTTTTTGCGACGCGGATCCGAGTTTCTACGAGCAGATTCGTCGTGAGAGCCAGGAGAAAAAAAGAGCACTCCCGAAGTTTCAGCAAAGTTGTTAAGATCACTTTGCGTCCGTTGCGAAAATACATGGTCCCCTTTCCTTAATGGCGCAAAACCCAACGAAATCCGTAATAGAAAGAGAGAGAGCAAGAGTGACGGAGCATCAAAATCTCTCGCGCGAGAACCGCGCCGGGGATTTTCCGCAAATACTTTTCCGATAACTGAGGGGACGCACAACCGTTTGGCGCACCTCTTGGCATCCCTTTGACCACGGCTGAGGGATGTTCGAGCATTCTCTTTCTATCTCTCTGTTCTCCTCCTCCGATAGTTGTCCATCAGAAAAGTTCTTTCGAATTGCCTTATCGCAGAGAACATCTCGATCCCCGACTCGCATCTTGCCGATAAGAACGCGGATTATGGGGGGAAAAAGGGGAGTGAGAAATGGGAGCGTGGGGCCAAGAGGTGACTGCATTCTTGCGTGTCTCCGTCAAATAGACGAAGAGACAGAGAGAAAGAGAGGAAGAGAGAGGGAGAATGAGGTATGCTCACGACGATTTCGAGTTCCACTGATGCAGCAACCTCATGTAGATTGCAGAACTGGCGGTAATGCCGTTCCGCGAGAAGAAATTCCCCCTGAGATTCGCTCTCGTCTCTTCCGGGGATTTCCGTATACGGGGTGCTCTCAAGAATGAGGCTGACGTTGACCGTGGTGATCGGTCACCGTGACCCAGTCCCGTCTTGAAAAATAACAATAAGACGGCCGCGGCTTACGATAAAAGTTGCCTATGCAAAGATGTGAGTGACAATTGATCTACTATAACCTTCATTTCTTTTAATTTTTCCTTTCGTGAAAAATAAATCTCTCTAATAAGAATATTTTAATCTTTCTTTATCATACAATACAAAAAAATTATTGAAACACGGAAAAAAAATGATATTGTATCGCAACAGCATCAGTGCGTTATTGAGATAAAATTTATTGATACAACATCAATATAAATGAACAAAAAACATCAGACAATTGTTTTAATAATTTAAATATTTGATCCAATAATATCCAATTGAATTAACTACATACGCTTGTAGCAGCCCGTGACGTCAACGTTTAATTAAAGCAATTTCATTTTTTTCCGTGTACGCTTCAAAAGACTATTTATATTTGTTTCTCTATATACATCTATATATATTGCAATCTCGAGACATGACGTAATAGATTTTTTTCACAGAGTGGGATAAGTACTGTATAAATCTAAAAAAGCTCGTGAAGTCTTTTTCAAGACACCCTGTATCACCTAGTTCGGGTCACGTACAACTCGCGAGTGTCGCGACGTCGTCGTCGCGACGTCGGCGTCGTCCTGTTTCGCTCTGCGCCGCATAACGAAATCACCAAAATCTCCGTACTTGCGCCTGGAATTTTCAAACGACTACGCAAATAGATAATCCTCCATTTTTCAAGAGACCGTCGGTAGTTATTGATTTATCAACCTGATTCGAGAGGAACGAGAATCCGCACACCAATCGAGTCTTTTGCGCGATTATCGAATTAATATCCTGTTCGAGGTAAAAAATTAAAAAAAATATATATATAAAGACCATCAGTAGCTTTGACTGTCAAATTTTTATACATCTCTCAATGTTTCTAATGTTTAAAGCGAAAGGAAAGGTGTATCGTTTCGGAATTTCTATACGCGCGTTATCGAAAAGTCGATATCTACGGATATCGCTTGAGACCGGTCCAACGTTGCGCGTATTTACGATAAGTAATTGTAATTTTGGCTAAAGTTCCGAAAAGATTTTTGCTTCAATTACTAATGAATTTGGCGATATCTCTCTCGAAAAAATAATAAGCAGAATTTTTTATAACAATTTATTCGTTTTTATGATGCTAATCTATAACTTGCGATCTTGAAAATTAAATAAAATTTCAACCAGCAGGTAGATAAATACATACTATTTATTCTTCGTTACGCTAGACTTTAAAATAATTCGAGGTAAATATACGCTTTTCGGAACTTTGCTCGTAATTTTAAGCGAAAGATCTAAGTGTTCAATTTAAATGAATCAATACGACTGCAACCCGCATATAAGTGATCACTTTTCAGAAAAAAATTTTAGCCATGCACGATCAGAGTTTTATTCCCTAAAATAATGGATGCTAGCTATGTTCGATTAGTTGAATCGCCGTTTTCTTTCTGCACCCTTCAAACGTTTTACAGAATAAAATACTGCTCGCAGTTAACTCTCGAAAAAAATCTTTATGCGGTTTCCAATCGCATCGATGCAAATAATTACGTCGTATGATTCGTGTCTCTAAAAAAAAAAAAATAACGAACTGATCGTCGTTCTTTCATATGAACTCGAGACACGATAGACAGAAATGCATGTCGTACATGTTGCCGGATGTTAGCGAATGTAAAATGACAATAGGTGTCAGCGGTCAAGCTGATTCTGCGAGGATGGATAGGTGTAGCGAATTGTCGAATGTTTAAAGTCTAAACTATCGAACCAAACTATCGTGTGAAGGAGGATATCGATGTACCGTGACAATTTCACATTCAATCTGCAATTCTCGAATGTTTTCTCTACAGTCGTCTACGATTAAGAACGTCAGTTATCCGATAAGCTTACGAACGTAATTAAAATACGTATTTCTCAGTTTCCCTTGCGTACGACACAAATTTTATTGTTAACACTTAAGTTTCATTACTTTCTTGATTTACTAAATTGATATACAATCGTAGAATTATATGAATTATGTGTGTAAGGAAAATAATAGTTTAATCCAGCTGCGAATAATAACTGAACCAGCGTGAGATAATTATTTCGCTTTGAAACATAAAGTGCTACTCGAAAATACAATAATTATATTTATTATTTTGTTAATTGTTTTACATATAACTCTATAAAGTAAATTTATTACTGATTATCGGGATGCCGTTATTACTAGAAAGTCTATTATAAAATAACGTAGTTGTTAAAATAATCATATTTATATATAGATATAATAATGCCGTAAAGATATGATACACCTATAATAATTATCGATCAATTAATATCAAGATGCAAAGTGATTGTGATTAATGACGAATTAAATTGATTAAATTGAAACATTATTAGTAACGATTACGCGAATACATTCCTTAAAGTCTGATGCGCTTGATAAGTCTCATTTAGATAGCTACAAAATTGTCAAAAATACATCCAAAAAATAATTTAATTGATGACAATTAAATACAAAAATACCAACCTTGATAATTTGTTCTCTTTATTTAAAACAATGTCGGACAATTCGCGGATGCATTAAAAATATAATGACGAAAATAAGAGTGTAAAATAATCATCTATAAACGTCCGTCTTTCGATGTAAACAGACATTTAAAAAGAGTTGCGGACGCGCGTGAGAAAATTATCATTAGGGCCGACGCCGCGCTGATTGCTGTAAATTAATATCGATTGTGCAATAACGTCGCGGCGGCGTGATGCAAGGGGGCGAGTAAACAATTAAAGCTCACGATGGGACGCGATTAAGGCCTGGTGGAGCTCGATAGCTCGAGAAGGAAGGCCCGGCTTATCGATCCCCGTGCTCGAGAGCGGTCCGAGAGTTACCGTTGTTTCCGTAACGTAACGTCGCTCCGTTATGCAGAATTTACGAGGCCGCGGCGGCGTTAACCACGCGAGAGCCGTGCCATCAATTTTTATCACACTCACTTCCGAATTAAGCTTAAACACGATATTTCTTTCCGAGCATACGGCGGATTTATATCGGACGATTACACGGGAATCCCATAATTCCCGTTACGACCCTACCGCGTATTTCTCACATCCGCGCGCGCTGGCTGTCATTACCTTTTTTCAATATCTCGTCATTTATTGAAGGATTATTGCCCGACGCCTCGGCTCCGGATTCGTCTCTCGTAGCTCGAGATCCGAATCTCGAGACTGGACGACGATTCAACGCGTGAGTTTTCGCTCGGAATTTATTGCTTAATCACGTTCGTTGGGGCAATCAAATTTTAGCGTTCCCAGCATCGCTTATGAACAAATCTAACTGGGATTATTAATTTATCTTCTTTTCGTCAGAATATTCAAAGGGTTAATGCGTCACGCTTATAGCGATGGGCATTTAATTTTCAACAATTTTCCATTGGATAATATTAAAAGTGAATTCAAGATTTTTATCACATATTTAAAACAATTGAAGACGCTCGTTAGTCCATCGCTCTACAATTACCATTAATTAAATCAATTGATATGTTATGCGAAAGAGACGTGATGAAATAATAAAAATATATGAAATCGTGACATCTATTGCGAAGATGTAGTCTTTATATATCTTGACTTCGAGTTAAGACAAGATATTCGTGATATCGATCGTGAAAACTGCCCACAATCATCGCTAATTCGCGTTCTCGCGATAATTTTAAGTGTAATAAGGGGGGACATATTAGAGAGCTCGTTATTGAATTATTGTATACTCGACGCAATGGTCGCGCGGAAACGCGCGATGTTATGTTTAAAATGCTCTAGAGTCTTTATTTATTGTACAAAACGCTGGATATTATAGATATATATATATACATATAAGTATACGTTTAAGTTATACATATACGATCTATAGTACCTAATAGGATGTAATCGTATGCTTATTATGTGTATAAATATGAAACAATAAAAAACTACTTCGACGTTTCACACATCTTTATACATTACCTTTCCCATTTCTTTTTATATTTCTCCTTTCAATGTAATAATAGTATATCTAGGAAGCGAGATACTCTGGACGGAAGGATGTGCTTTCTTCTTACGATATTAATTTACGAAAGTCTCGTCTTACAGCGCAGCGTAGATGTTACGACGCCGTACGTCGAAAGAGACGAGAGCAACTTTAATGCTGCAGCCGGCAATATAATGCATTCTAACGTAACGTGTTATATACGTCACGTAACTCTGTTCTACAAAATGCAACGGAAAGTTTCGGAACTTACTCTTCGCGTAGGGAACAAGCGAGCCGAGCCGAGAGAGCGAAAAAGCTTTCTAAGCCGCTCATATATTTGCATCGACGACGGCGGCCACAGGGTGAAGGCGGAAGTTCTACCATCGACGGTAACCAGACGGCAAATATCGTAAATGTCAGACACCGGGAAGATATTGCGCGATTTATCAAAACATCGGCATTCTCTCTCGATATTCTATATTTATCCGTACGTACGCTTCTTTATTTCTCATGATCTCTTTACGGAAAATTAAATTGCATCAGTTATGATTTTCTACGTATCGTAATGTATTGTAATGTATTAACTAATCAGAAAAAAATTTTCGTAAAAATATTTCTACTTTAAAGCATTCTCGATCGAATTGACGTTGTTCTTTTTTTCCTTTTTTTGCTAATAAATCCGCAAGACACGTACGCTTTTTTATTTCTCGTAATCTCTATTTAACAGGAAATCGATATTAAATTAGGTCAGCTATAATTTTGTATGTATCGTAACGTATTACCGAGTATATTAATTATCAGAAAAAATTTCCGTAGCAATATCTCCATTTCGAAACATTCTCTATCAAATTGACGTTGTTGTTTCTTTTCTTTTTTTGCTGATGAATCCACAAGACGCATACGCTTCTTATTATTTCTCGTAATCTCTATTTTACAGAAAATTGATATTAAATTGTGTAAGCTATGATTTTAGACGTATCGTAACGTATCGTCGAGTAAGTGTTAGCTATCAGAAAAAAATTCTCATACAAATATTTCTATTTCAAAGCATTCTCGATCGATTTAACGTTGTTCTTTATTTTCTTTTTTTCCTAATAAATCTGCAAGACATGTACGCTTTTTTATTTCTCATAATTTCTATTTTACAGGAAATTGATATTAAATTATATCAGCTATGACTTTGTATGTATCGTATAACATATAACTATCAAAAAAAATTTTCGTAGCATCTCCATTTCGAAACGCTCTCGATCAAATTGACGTTGTTTTTTCTTTTCCTTTTTTTGTTAATAAATCCGCAAGACACGAGCGCGAAATACGCGGCAATAAACTCGTTTATAAAAAATTTTATAAGCAAAACGAATAATATTTGGAGAACAAGCAAGTAGAAAATGTTTTACAATTTTTAATTAACTTACCTACTTTAATTACCTGCTATCATTTTTTTATGGCATGCGCGAGATCACCGCGTTGCAGGGATGATTTTTACAAAATTTTTACAAATGATACAATTTATAACGTTAATTTTCTGTCAAATAAAGATTATAAAAAATAAAGAAGCACACGTATGTACAAATAAATTTGAAACATTTATTAATTATGTGAACGAGTGCCCGTGCCCGTTCTTTAATGACTTTAACGAAAGACGGAATATATTCGTCGATGCACACTTGAGTTTATTCGCACTCTCGATATTTACACGCTTATTAAAGCAAGCTCGCTCTCTCGTTCGCGTTCGTTCGCGATCGCGACAAGCAAAGTGAGAACGCCAAACACGCGATCGTTCTCTTCAATCAATCGATTATTAATTCCCGTGTTTAACGAAAGATTCATACTATTACTGAAGCGTCTTCCTGCGCGATTAACTAATTCGGAGTAAGAAACGGAGGCAGGGGACAGGAATTTTGGAGGTTATCGTCTCACTGAGACACGCGGGACAACGATTCTACTATGATTCGGCTGTATCTCGCTTCGAATAAATTGTTTCTCATGCACAATTTACTCACCGATCACGGAGCACTGCCAGGAGACCCGCCAAATCACAGCCGTGGAGGAGGGTGATACGTACGGCGCCGGCGTCCAGCACGACATTCGGCACTCGGCGTTCGGCGTTCGTCTCGTGCAGCGACGGCATCCCGAGTCAACACGAGAAGGAACGGAGTATTCGGCGCACATTCAGCTCGCAACACTCTGCTACCGGATATCTTTTCGTTTACGAGAAAGAGGAATTTACACGATCGACAACGTCTCGCGCTACATCGATGTGAACGCGTCGCGTATTTACTTGCGCACTGCGCACCGCCGCGCCGCCGCCGCCGTCACGCCACGGCGCAGTCAGGTGAGCCGTCGAACGCGATTGGCTCCTCGCGACTCGAACCCCCGCTACCCGGCCAATCACGTTCGACCGCTCTGAATCGCCGGCGAGCGGCCGTGGCATTACTGACGCCGTACTAGCCGCGAAACGATACGTTGAAACTTCGCAACAAACGTATACGTACTCTCGAAATCAGTGCGCGGACGATTGTTTTTGTCGACGACCGACTTTGCCACTCGTTTTTGTCAACGCTCGCCGTACGTTATCTGCGAGAGCCATTCGGTATTCATTCTCCCGACGAATTTCGCACAAGTGAAGTGTTATTCGTGCTCCACACGCGCCCGTCGCCGTGCTCCGTGCTGTGTCGACCGTGTTCTCGTTTCTGCGGTTGGCATCCCTGCTCCCTGAGCTCCCTCGTTCCGCGGGCCGCGGTCTGTGCCTCTGCGGGAATAATCGGCGTGCTGAACATTTCGCAAGCGTATAAAGCGTCCGGCGAAATGGATGTGTCGTGACGAATCGCTCGAGGCATCGTGGATCGTCGGAGACGTGGTTGAAAGTACGAGAATGGTGACTTATTTCAAGTTTCGTGATACTTGCGGGGGATAATCGGATAATCCCCCCCCCCCCCCACCGCCATGTATGGTTATCAAACGTAGCATTCTCACGATCGACACTGTCTTGACTGTCTCGCGTCGCACTTTGAACACCGCACGCGTGCCGGTTGTCGTATAATTTATCTCCGATTCTCTCCGAAGGGAGAAAGAGGACCGAGTGTATATTGTCGTGATTGAACGGGACGCCTGCGCCGTGATACGTCGCCCGTTCGTGAATATTTGACAATCTCATGTGTTTCGCGCACGTAGATTAACGCCGAGAGAGTCGCGATTGTTTCGTCGTAATTAATGATACATTAATAATACAGTTTTACATTCGCGAGATTCACGAGATCGAGATCTGTGCGTGCGGTGTTTAATTTTAATTATATTTTCGATTAATCAACTGCGGCGTGTCTTCTAGGGCTGCGGTCCACTTGACGCTACAAATGCTTTGAAGCATTTTTCTTCTTCTTTCTTCATTGAAAGAAAAGAGAAGAGGAATATGCTTCGAAGCATTTGTAGCGTCAAGTGGACCGCAGCCCTATAGTCACTAGCCGTCCGTTTGACTCGCGTAGTATCGCGCCGACGCGATGCCTTCGAGGATTTCGTCGCCATTCGCACGCAGCGCGGTGAACACGGAACGAATTGGTGCCGCGACTCTCTCTCTCTCTCTCTCTCAAATTTCGAAAGAATTTATATCGGAAAACGTTAAAGTATTTCGGGGAAATGTTATCGAGAGCGGCGCGCGGCCTTGGGGTCGTTTTTTTTGTATGCGGCGCACCTGCTTGTTTACGCGAAATCACCCATGTGTGAACGATTAAGTCGCCGGCAGGCAGATCTGTTTCGTACGTCGTAGGGTCGAGATCTCTCGATCGCTCTCTCTCTCTCTTCGCGTACAATTACTGAATTATTTCTTGCGCAATTAACTATTTACGTTGAATGATTCGCGCGGGTACTTCGCGCGATTTATTACGTTGAGTGATTCGCGGGAATCGAAGCGACGCGGGACGGGAGTGCCGAACTTCGATTGCATCGCGTATTTTCGCACGATTCGTTTGATTTGAATTGATCATTTGATATACAGTAGTCTCGCGAACGTCGCTGACGTCGAGAGTATCGAGAGTGTATAAAGTGCGTTCACAATTGACCGTACTTTCGTGAGTTGCGCGAGTTGCGAGGGCAGAAATTGAGAGGAAGAAGAAGTTCAGAAGGTATCGAACGACGAAGTAACTACGGCGCGTTATGAAACTGAACGTGACATCGGAGCAGCGAGGGAATCCTGCGTAGCTGACATCCCGAGCAGCCTGAGAGGAGGAGGAGGCCTAGGATAGGCATCGGGCATCGGCGTACCAACACTTCTGGTAAGTGTTACTTTTTATTTTTTCTACAGATATAAAATCCCTTTTTTCATTTATCCTTATTTATTTGTTATGCTAAACCGTGATTCGGAATATAAATTAGTAAAAAGAAATAATTTGAAAAATTTGATTCAAGTTGACTCTAACGTAAAGACCTCTTCCGGAGAAGTAATTAAAAAAAAAAATTAATCTGAATAACGAATAAGATGTTCAATGCGCGTGACAATTATTTAATCGATTCGATTATTTTTGTTACAGAAAATATCCCCGCGGGAAGGAGCATCTTTGCATCGAGGGAACACTGACATCTCGAGCAGCCTGAGAGGAGGTGGAGGCCTAGGAGAGGCATCAGGCGCCGGCGGAACAACATGCGGTAAATATAATTGGTTTATACATATTGTGTTTTTTGCGGAAGGTTTATCCAACCGATTTTTTAATCGGATGGTTAGTCAAAGAGTAAAAATTAGTAGTTATATTTTTTAAATTCTTGTGGAATAAGCTCGTGTTCAATAAATAGAGTATTTTCAAGAAATTACGTCATTTTTTAAAATTAAATTTGTTTAACGAACTAAAATATAGAATTCCATGTTTTATGTTCGGTAATTATTTTTCGAAATACTGACTGTCTCTTTTCTTTCTTGTTCTAATTTAGATTATATATTTGATTGTTACAGAATCATCGTAGCGACGTTGCAGATACAGCTCCGCTGCTGCGCATCGGGGTCGGTGAGTCGATGATAAAAATTTTATAGTTAAATCGTTATGACGTGAGATTCAGTAAACGTTATCTTTTAAAACTGAAAAATTTTTTGTAGATTTTTTTTTAAACTTGACTAATTTCGCGTTAACTTTAACTTAAATAATTGATTTTGAGGAATATAATTATAATAATGAGATGTAGCTATCGAAATTCAAATACTCGAGTGCACAAAATATTCACGTTAGTTTATTCAATATTGTGCGGAAAATTTATTAATTATCCCTTTCGGATCTTACGTCATAATTTTTTTTCTCACCCTTTTAAGATGATGATATTCTCGATATTCGAAACGATAAATCGAAAAAAATGGGCCTTAGATTTTCTTAGTTCGCGTTTATCAATTGTCTCACTCATTGTGTTCGCATTTTTATTAAAGTATGCTTATACCACATTTAAAGTAAAGTTCCTGTCATTTGTAAAAGTAGTTGAATTTATTTGGATTGTATACGCGTTTAATTAAAAGATTTTTTTCCAAGTAAGAGCTTTTGACTAATTTACATTCTTTTTGTTCCTAATCGAAGAAATTATCTCGCGTGTAAAGAATAGTATACAGATAATAAGATAATAAGTACAATGCGGATATAGTAATTCCATAATTAATTAATTTAATTGCTATAAATGGCCCTTTGCGACGCGGTCGTGTTTCGCGCATCGTGACAGAGAGAGCGTAAGATCATTACGCTTATCTGCCAGCTATAATCAGCTGGCAATGGAAGGATTATATTTCCTTTCTATTTCTGGCTTTGCCGGAGTCGATTTGGCCAAAAAAGGTATGTGCATGCAGTTAAGGCAATATTTTTTGCATATACATATATATAATCGGAGACAGAAAGGTGACGTCTCCAATTCAATTTGAATTAACCGAACTTAAAATCTCTTAAACTCTCTTTTAAAATTTTAAACACTCTTTTAAACATACACTTCCTTAATCTCGGGTAATCGCGGTCGCGGTCTAATTAATATTGATAATCTAAATAAACTAAATAAACTAATAAATGCGGGTAGGTAGGAATGAAGCATTAGGTAAATAGAAATATGGTTAGGTAGGAATGTGAACATACAAGAATATGTGGATAGGCAGGGAATACATATATAGAGTTAAAAGTCCGGGCAGGTAGGAACATGGAGGGATTATAACTCGTAATGTTAATTATGTAGAATAATTATGTAATAAGTTAAATTTATGTGAATCTTGAGTAGCTACGTATAATATTACATAATATTATTTAATTGTCATTTTATTAATTATGTAATAAATTTTAAATTTATTACATAGTATGTAATTTTATAGACAGTACGTTAAAATTATGTAATATTATATCATATTACTTAATAATATGTACCTAATATTAATTATAAACAAATTATTATAGTAAAGAATTGTACGAAAAATTGTATTAAAATTGAAATGGGATACCAATACTGGATATATGTATTATACAAAATCGACAGAAGACGTACGATAAATATAATATAAAATTTGCTAAATTAGTGTTTTGTAATTATTGCGTTTTTACAATTTTTTAGAATATTCAACGAATATTCAATTTTATGCTTTATTTTGAATTTCGCGTTTGAAAGATTATCACTATAATTAATTATTATAATTTTCATATAAATGTGAAGACGTGAAGATTCGAATGCTGAATCAACGATCAAATAATAGCTTCTCGCTCGTGAAATTTGACATCTGCCTAAAATTTAATATTATAAAATTATATTTTTTAAAATTATTACGAAATTCATGACTTACTTAAAATTATCACAATTCGTTATTAATCGGAATACGCAAAATGCAAAACAATATTTTTTGAAGAATTGATTTCATAAATTTTACTTTGATTTCATAAAATATTCTATATTTTGCAACGTTGAAGACCGCATTTTTACATTCTTCGTTCTTGAATGCGATCGTTATCTCAGCTGTTATCACTGTATCTCGCGTCAGGTGGACGTTAAGACGTTCGTACCGGAGGGGAGGCGTAACGATTTTCAACGTGGAGGGTTAATTAGTTCGATGCCCCGTTGAAGATCGAAGACCCAGTTGCAGAACCAGAATTAATTCCTGGTTTTCTTACATCTCGGATCCTTGGTAGCAGTGGTTTCGGCACGAGTAGGTACGCAACATCGAGATTCGCGAAATTAATTAGAACATATATGTATATTATAAGAGAAGATTTTGTTCTTCTCAATGAAATATTCTTCTATTATCGCTAGTGTTAATCATGTTTCTGTCTTGCTCATAAAAAGACAGTAAAGTTGAGTAAAGTGGATATGGATAAAATAATTGTTTATAAAAGAAAGAAAAAAAAGAAAAAATAGTAAAAAAGAAAAAAAAAGGAGAAAAGTAAAAAAGAAAAAAAAAGAAAAAAGGAATGAGTAGATTTAAGAAAAAAAATTTAAAAAACCAGGATACAATTATAACATAACACATCTTTGATATAATGTAGTTACAAACAACTATATTTTATTTTTCAATTTTTTGTTTCTCATAAACATGGTTTCTCGAAACCATTTTCAAGGACTAGATTTTACGGTCCTAAATATCAATATTAATTATTGAATGCCTACATCTCATGCATTTTGTTAATAATATACTCGTTTGTAACTGCTCTTTGATAACAATTATTTTATCCATATGTTTTTAAAATAAAATAAATATATATTGTAATGGATATATATTTTAATTATAAGAAAGAAATGTATTTTAATAATGGAAGAATATTACAATAGTGTAAATATATATACAGAATGCAATAATTTGAAAAACAATCGTCGTTAACTTGCTGCCGAAATGATCGCTATCGGGGGCAATCCGGAAGATCTGGGATTCATTCCTTCCTGCAGCGGGGCCCTTGACGTTCAACGGGTTTGCTTAATTTTCTGTCACATTCTTTTGATTTCATGATTAGGGTATATTTCAAAATTAGGGTATATTGAGCTCACCTTCTATCTTGAGAATCGTTTTTCTCTATGGACGTATCACCCGGCGGAGGAACTTTGCTCTGATCTCTGATCAAATCGTTAGATCAGTTATCCTTAAACCGATGGTAACGTAATTTTTTTACTTCTTGCGATTTTTTTAGATTTAAAATAAGTAGACTTTAAATAGACTTTAAAATATATAGGCAGAAGATAAAGCTTTTTATTCAATCGTTGATTTGCACCTCGAAACATCTCATATTTTTTCTATAATAAGAAAATTTAATAATAAAAAATTGATTGTTTTTAAAATATTTACAATAGTTAAATATTTGATCTAAAATAGTGAATTTTTGTATTATTATATTTATTTCGAACATCTTTGTGTAACCTGGCGTTAGTAAAATAACTCAAATGTATGTATTTATAATATAAATGTATGTATATAAATATTTCGAAAGCAAATTCTTTATCATATATTTTACAATTCTGTATACTTTCCACTTTTTATGCAGATAATAATAAAAAATTATAAATTGTGATAAATAAATTGTAATTATACATTGTTATATATTGTGAGGTATAACAATATATAATTACAACTTATTTTTATTACAAAAAAAAATAATAAATAAAAAAAGCATTTATTCAAAGAAAAGAGGACCGCAAATTAAAGTTGGCGGGGGTGGTGGAGGGCCTCTACAGGTTGATCTGTTTTTATTAGAAATTTTAATTTTAATTAAATTTCGAAATATATAAAATAACGTTACTTATTTTGCGTGCGTAAAATTACCGTAAAATTCTTCCTTGAAAATTTACTATTAATCCTGTAATAAAAGAAGTGGAAACAATTATCTATATAATACAATACTTTTATATCGGATTTAATTTGGAGGAAAAATAAGAATAAAAGTTTTTTTTTTTTAAATTATACGCAGATAGATAGTTTGTTCTGTTTCTCCTTCGAATTCTGTTGCGAATAGTTGTCTAGATAATCGATGATTTAGAAACTTCATAAATTTGACTTGATACTGAATTGTTTCAATTTCTGACTGCACTTTACGCTAGCGGTTTTCTGCTAGTTCGTCTATCAATTATTTGCATATATCTGCTACATCCAAGATCCTTCTTCGCAATAGGTACTATTCTTTTCCCGTTTTCGTATTCCTCGCTATTTCGCGCCGTATGAATTTTTTATCAATTTTTTTTTTAACCGACTACATGCTTTTCTCTCCCGGCTTCCATTCTTCCATTCTTCTGTTGATTCTCTTCCTTTCATCATCAGAAATTCTTCAGCCGTCGCTTTTGCGACCCGGATAGGATCGCGAGAACTTAAAAGAACCGGGCGCATAGAGCGCCAATAGTATTTCCCTGCAAACTTTGAGTTGCAGCATTTCAGTAGATGACAACGAGAGCGAGAGCAAAAGTAGGGACGGATTTCGAGCATACTTTCTAATATATTTGTAAACAGGTTGCGAAAGTTGCTGGTGATTTAAACTTGTTGCACGTTTTGGTAGGACTCTATAAAGAAAATGGAACTTAATTGCTCAATTTACTTGTAACACTGTACTGTACGTTATCAGATCACATTTTTTAATAGAAAAATTTTATTCCATTCTTATTTGACTTCTATATATGTAATTGATTATTGTTATATTTAAATGAGCAAATGTACATTAAGTACATCCTGCTTACATGACGCTTACATGCACGCTTATCTTATCTCTTTTAGCATATATATGTATGTATGTATATATATATGTATATTTAACTTTCGGTTTACAGTTAAGGCGAGAATTTTGTAACTGTTAAGTGAGGCTGTTTCAATACACACATTATAAAAGTCTCATTTGAAAGTTACAATTCGATTGAATAAAAACCGAAAAATTTTTAATCAGATTTTGAACCTGAATCTTCGGCTCACTAAAGTAGCGCACATCACTCTGCGCCACGATCACCACTTTTTAATCTTAATGATTATAATTAAAGTAACATAATTTGGATATAATCATTAAGATTATACACAAACAAAATTTGATCTTTCAGTA